GATGGATGGTCAAACGGGAATGTTTGAAATGAGCAGTACTCATACACACATACACGCCACACCCAAACCGGTCTTGCACGTGACTGACTCACCAACACCCCACTGCGTCTCAGAATTTCCGTTAATCAATCTGCATCCAAATTGGGCGGTGCTTCGCACGTGAGTCAACAGAGCTGAACGATGGAGACTGGCAATTTGGAGAACATGGTCCAGATGTTCTGGCGCGGCTTATTGGCGAACTAAATCATACAAAAGTAATTTTTACCCCGGTCTATCCACAGGGAGAATCGAACCAGATAGAATGTTCATCGGTTTGGTTCTTCAGTGAGACGATCAAAAATTAAATAAACCGGTTTTGGTCGCAGTCGGTCCGTGGGCTTGGTGCCAAAGTTCGAACCCTGCCAATTTCACACAACTTTAATGATGGTCTGTTTCCCTGAAATCCCGTTTGATACCAAAATACATTGTATTGAGGCTTTATATGTACTAATTCGCTCATCCTAGTTCCAGGGCCACGGTTGTCAGTTATCAAAACCGAATAGTGGACCTTGCGCCTGTGGGAATAATACCGTATGCGGTTAACAGCAGGTAATCTCTGATCATTTTTTTGCGTTATCCAATGGGGTTATGATATTCTTTACGTGATCTGAAGAGAATTCACACAAATCACTGGGGCTCGCCGGCGCATCCATTGCATCCACTGAGGTATGGGGGAAAAACATTCCTCGTATAACGCAATATGACATGCTTCGTGCCGAATTCCGTACCAGGAGGAAGCCACCACATGAACAAGTGATGGAAGTCAACACATCACTATTGTTATGAATGCTAAATGGGAAACGAAATGCGAAAAGATCGGTCTTGCCAATGCTGTTTGTTTTGCAAGCCTTACGACGCGTCTACTTAAAGCTACTATGTAAATATTTATTCGTGCGTATCCCATGTAGTACAGTGGCAATTGGGTTGAACTCGTACGAACGATTTTGCGGAGATATATGATACTCAGAAAACAAGACAACCTTATCGTAGGATGAAAATGACGCGGGTCAAATGGAAATCGGAACTAATACCATAGGTGGGTGGGGGAGGTAGGGGTAGAGTGAAGATGCAGGACTGTTCCGGAGTGAACAGACTCCAATCATAGTTGTAATGCATACTCATACGAGGTTTCGAACTTTGGCACCACGAAAGAATGAGAACGATAACCTTTATTTTCAAGTGCCGTCGTCTCCTTTGACGCTTGATTGCCAGACCGTATACGGGGTAGCACGGGGCAAACATGCGGTAGTGAAATTGTAATCCTTTGACTGAAACAGACAAGTAAACGTGCACCTGAAAATCGGTATCTTTGAACCTGTTCGATTGCTAAATCGTGGCTGCTCCAGCTGACTCGAAACCTCGCCTAATCCGATTCTGAAGATCCAATTAAATTCACCAAGCTGGTTTATGCCTTAAAAGAAACCGACTGTGATCTTGTCGTTGGCTTATAGACCACAACAAGCACCTATTCATTAGGCTCGACTGAAGAGGACCCTGGCTGGGTCGCAATGACAGTCTAAGTCATTAGTTCAAACAAAAGCGAGCACACAAGGAATAACCAACCTCATGATCTCATTACTCGATGGCTCAATAAGAAAGTGTCCTTGAAATACTAATAGAGACCCATTGGACCGTTGTGTGACCACCTGACACAGTGATCGTCCAATCAGAACACAGATTAGCCGATCGGGTGGCGCACTCGGTTGCGGCCGGCCGTGCTCGCATGTGCTAGCTGATCATGCGATCACACTGCCCTAACAGACTTCCTATCATAATCAAACCTCGGCACATCCGCACGAAAGGTGCCTTGAGGAGTACGTTGCGACTCAACGTGTACTGGTAATGGTTGCGAACCAGATTTCTGACGATCACCATCGATTTGAGACAAAAATAAGCACTGATGTTGTTCTGTATTTTTTCATCTGTTAATTTTGCATAGTGGTTGAACAAACCACTTTCTGAACGTGGCCCTATCTCTAACAAACTCTGGCAATTTTGCAAAGTTCATAAATCAGCGAAGTGCTCCAAACGGGAACAACCGTATGGAATGAGTGCTTATTACACGACTGAGCTGATCAAGTCTAAATTATTCTTTTTTATGTTGGGATGGTAAGAAGTTCAGTATCCTCGCTGGGATTAGAACCCACGCATGGACGCCGCCTACACCTCTGTGCAGCGCACACTCTACCAGATGGACTACGAGGCCACACCGATAGCACTGATCATTTCATATTCTAATTTAATCACCCAACTTACAGAGGCATATGGCATCCACCAGTTAACATATAAGTTGGATGGGTAAATTCGAATGTGAAGAGGTCAGTGCTATCGGTGTGGCCTGGTAGCTCAGCTGGTAGAGTGTGTGCTGCACAAAAGCGTGGGCAGCCTCTATGCGTTGCTTCGAATCACACCGAGGCTATTGATTTTTTTACAATCCCAATAAAAATCTTCTATCTGCCAAATAACTAATCTTTTTTGTCCAAATCCCGACGCAAAACGTGAGCAACGCGGCGAAAAACCGAATCATACTTTTTGGGGAAGCCAAACAACTTCTGAGATGCTTTGGGTTGGAAGAAACTAACTTCCAAACAGCAGAATCCAAACACACATGCTCGGTGTCTCAGGCTTTCGGTTTCTAAGTATTCTAGTTCCACAAAGCGATCCGTGGTCGAGGGAAGCTGTTTATTATGAATTACAGTTGGGATAGCACTAATTTGGCATATATATAACAATATATCTCATTTTAACCACGTTAGTATAATACTCGTTAGCACACAGCGTAATGTATGGAACAGATAGTAGTCATTTTTTTGCAATACAGCAATTAGCTCTAAGTGGTCTTGCGATTTTTCGACCGTTGAAAGAAACCACCAATGG